GGAGATAATTAAGTCCGGACATTTGGGTCGTCGTTTTGCCATAGCTAGAGGTACTTACGATATTTGGACTAGTAAAATAGGTCAAAGCCCAATTGGACGGATCCTATAAGGTCACACAAAGGGGCTAGATCGAGCAGTAGAGGACGAGGCCCATCTTGGGCCTCATCACTCTAGGTGTCCGACCATGTAGGGGAATTAAGAGGCTTTTGGGCTTCGTGCACTAGTCTAATTATAATGAGATAATAAATAGACTAGGTGCCTAGGTTTGCAAGTAAGCAGTTTACTGATCTTTTGATCAAACCCGAATTAGCAAACACGAAACCCAACCCCTCTCATATTCCTCTATCTCACGGCTCTCTCCTCCTCCCCAACGCACGGTGGTGTCTCGTGGTGGTGGTGGTTCGTGCGGTGTTCGGTTGTCCGAAAAGGTGGTGATCGCGGTTTTCCTCAATCACTCGACCAATCTAGTATTGGTGGACGGCTCGTTCGAATCTCGTGGACTAAGTAGAGGAGAAACACTTGGGGCTCTATTCTCTCCCTGATTTGCCTGTCGAATAGCTTCGTGGAATTCACGCTTCAAAGGTATGATTATGTGTCTTGTGTGTTATGCATGTGATTCTTGGGATTAGGTACTTTATTGAATATGATTCATGTTATTTCCGCTGCGTAGTACCTATAAACTCTTACACATATATGGTTCCAAACGGCATTATATGATCTCGAGATGTATCCCATAGAATTTCAAAACTTTTTGACACTAATCCCGAAACCTAAAAAATTTCTCAAAATGCGTGGATATTAGCCTTCAATTTTGGAATTTTTTTTATTTCTCTTCGTCCGCAAATAAAAATTGCCGAAATGTTTACCATGGTCCCTAATACCATTCGGGACTCCAATTGGGTGGGTGAAACCAACCAATTTTCCTTTAAACGACCAATTTACTGGTTTACAACTTGCACCGATTTCATTAACTCAAGCCTACCACGAACATTTTTGACAACATATAATGATCATTTATGATTCCAAATTTCAATACATGACCCGAGATGTATCTCGTAAAATCTTATTTCTTTTCGACACCAGCCCCGAAACTTTCGAAATTTACAAAAAGCATGGATATTAGCTTTCAATTTTAGAATTTTTTTTACTTTTTTTTCGCCCGAAAATAAAATTGCCGAAATATTTACCATGGTCCTTAATACTCTTTGGGAGACCAATTGGGTGGGTGGAACCATCTTATTTGTCTTTAAAAAGTCAACTTACCGATTTACAACTTGCACCAAATTAATTAACTCAAGCCTACCACAAACATTTATGACAATATATAATGATTATATATGGTTCCAAACGGCATTAAATCATCCCGAGATCTACCCCTAAAATCTCAAAACTATTCGACATCGGACCTCAAAACATGCCAAATTTCTAAAAAAGCGTGGATTTTAATTTTGGAATTGTTTTTTACTTTTTTTCGCTTGGAAATAAAAATTGTCGAAATATTTACCATAGTGGCATGGTCCCTTATACCCTCTGGGAGTCCAATTAGTTGGGTGAAACCATCCAATTTGCCTTTAAACGCCCAATTTACCGATTTACAACTTGTATCGATTTCGTTAATTCAAGCATATCACGAACATTTATGGCAACATATAACGATCATATACGGTTCCAAATGACATTATAAGACTCCAAGTTGTATCCCCAAAAATCTCAAGCCTTTTCGACACCGGGTCCCGAAACCTCCAAAATTTCTCAAAAATCATGGATATTAATTAACCTTCAACTTTTGAATTTTTTGACTTTTTTATCTCGAAAATAAAAAATTGTCAAAATTTTAACCATGATCCCTTATACCCTCTGGAAATCCATTTGGATGGGTGGAACCAACCAATTTGTCTTTAAACGACCAATTTACCGATTTACAATTTTCACCAATTTTATTAATTCAAACCTACCACAAACTTTTATGACAACATATAATGATCATATATGGTTCCAAACAGCATTATATGACCCCGAGATGTATTTTCTAAAATCTCAAACCTTTTCGACACCGGGCCCTGAGACCTTAAAAATTTCTCAAAACACGTGGATATTAGCTTTCAATTTTTGAATTTTTTAACTTTTTTTCGCCCGAAAATAAAAATTGCCGGAATTTTTTACCATGGTCTGTAATACCCTCTGTTAGTCCAAATGAATGGGTGGAACCACCAATTTGACTCTAAACGGTCAATTTACCGGTTTACAACTTGCACCAATTTCATTAACTCAAGTCTACCAGGAACATTTATGACAAAAAATAATGATCATAAATGGTTTCAAACGACATTATATGACCCCGAGATATATTAACTAAAATCTCAAGTCTTTTCGACACCAGTTCCAGAAACCTCCAAAATTTCTCAAAAAATGTGGATATTCTTCAATTTTGGAATTTTTTGACTTTAGAAATAAAAATTGCCAAAATGTTTACCATGGTCGCTAATACCTTCTGGGCGTCCAATTGGTTGGGTGGAACCATACAATTTGCCTTTAAACGACCAATTTACCGATTTACAACTTGCACCGATTTCATTAATTCAAGCCTACTACAAACATTTATGACAATATATAATGATCATATATGGTTCCAAACGGCATTATATGACTCTGAGATGTATCCCCTAAAATCTCAAGCCTTTTTGACACTGGGTCCCGAAACCTCCAAATTTCTTAAAAAGTGTTGATATTAGCCTTCAATTTTGGAATTTTTTGACTTTTTTTCGCCCTGAAATAAAAATTGCCTAAAGTTTTACCATGGTCCATAATACCCACCGGGAGTCCAATTGGGTGAGAGTATCCATCCAATTTGACTTTAAACGGCCAATTAACCAGTTTACAACTTGCACCGATTTCATTAAATCAAGCCCACCACGAAAATTTAAGACAACATATAATGATCATAAATGGTTCCAAACAGCATTATATGAACTCGATATGTATCCCCTAAAATTTCAAGGCTTTTCGACACCGAGCCTCGAAACCTCCAAAATTTCTAAAAAAAGCATGGATCTTAGCCTTCAATTTTGGAATTTTTTGACTTTTTTTCGGTTAAAAAAAAAATGTCAAAAATGTTACCCATGGTCCCTAATAATCTCCGAGAGTCCAATTGGGTGGGTGGAACCATCCAATTTGCCTCTAAACGGCTTATTTACCGGTTTACAACTTGCACTGATTTCATTAACTCAAGCCTACCACGAACATTTACGACAACAAATAATGATCATAAATGGTTCCAAACGACATTATATGACCCCGAGATATATTCCCTAAAATCTCAAGTCTTTTCGATACCGGGTCTCGAAACCTCCACAATATCTCAAAAAACGTGGATATTAGACTTCAATTATGGAATTTTTTGACTTTTTTCGCCCGGAAATAAAATTTTCCAAACTATTTACCATGGTCCCTATACTATTACCCTCCGAGATTCCAATTGGATAGATGGAACCATCCAATTTGCCTTTAAATGGTCAATTTACCGGTTTACAACTTGCACCGATTTCATTAACTCAAGCCTACCACAAACATTTATGACAACATATAATGATCATATATGGTTGCAAACGGCATTATATGACCCCGAGGTATATTCCCTAAAATCTAAAGGATTTCGACACTGGGCCTCGAAACCTCCAAAATTTCTCAATAAGTATGGATATTAGCCTTAAATTTTTGGCTTTTTGGCTTTTTTTTCGCCTGTAAATTAAAAATTGCCGAAATTTTTACCATGGTCCCTAATATCCTTCGGGAGTCCAATTGGGTGAGTGTATCCATCTAATTTGCCTTTAAACGACCAATTTACCGGTTTACAACTTGTACCGATTTCATGAAATCAAGCCTACCACGAACATTTAAGACAACATATAATGATCATAAATGGTTTCAAACAACATTATATGACACCGAGATATATCCCCTAAACTTTCAAGTTTTTCGACACCGGGACTCGAAACCTCCAAAATTTCTCAAAAAGCATGGATCTTAGCCTTCAATTTTGGAATTTCTTGACTTTTTTCGCTCAAAAATAAAAATTGTCGAAATGTTTACCGTGGTCCCTAATACCCTCCGGGAGTCCTATTGGGTGGGCGGAACCATCCAATTTTCCTTTAAACAGCCAATTTACTGATTTACAACTTGCACAGATTTCATTAACTCAAGCCTACCACTAAAATCTATGACAACATACAATGATCATAAATGGCTCCAAACGGCATTATATGACCCCCAGATGTATTCCCTAAATTCTCAAGAATTTGCAACATCGTGTACCAAAACCTTCAAATTTTCTCAGCATTCAATTTTGGAAAAGTTTGACTGTCTTCGCCAAAAAATAAAAATTGCCGAAATGTTTACCATGGTCCCTAATACCCATCGGGAGTCCAATTGGATGGGTGGAACCATCCTATTTGCCTTTAAACTGCCTACTTACCGGTTGATAACTTTTACCGATTTCATTAACTTAAACCTACCATGAACATTTATGACAACAAATAATGATCATATATGGTTCCAAACGGCATTATATGACCCCAAGATGTATCCCCTAAAATTGGTAGGCTTTTCGACATCGGGACCCGAATCCTCTAAAATTTCTCAAAAAGCGTGGATATTAGCCTTCAATTTTTAGATTTTTGACTTTTATCACCTGGGAATAAAATTTACCGAAATGTTTACCATGGTCGCCCCGAACCCTCCAAAATTTCTCAAAAAGCGTGGATATTATTATCCTTCATCAATTTTGGAATTTTTTGAATTTTTTTTCTCCCGGAAATAAAAATTGCCGAAATGTTTACCACGCTCCCTAATACCCTCCAGGAGTCCAATTGGATGTGTGGAACCATTCAATTTGCTTTTAAACGGTCAATTTACCGGTTTACAACTTGCACCGATTTAACGGTTTACAACAACCGATTTAATTAACTTGCACCGAACCCGACTTGAACCGAAATTGACCCAAACCTATTTTAACCCGTCAAAAACCGAATTTAAGTATGGCCGTAAATCCGTGATCATCTCTAAAAAAATAATTAAAACAAAACACAAAGTTTCATATGTGGCTGGCCACACCATGCGGCCAGCCACAATATGAAGCCCAATCCGGCACGCGCTCCGTTTTAGGCCCAGTCCAACTTTCTAATTGTAACGAAGTTTGGAAAATAACGGAGTTCCCGTTTTAACTTTAAATTTTTTTTTTCTTTTTTTTGTGTAAACCGCCATTTTGGGATTGTCACTTCACTTCCCTGAATATTGTCTTTTCATTTCCTTCTTTCTCAATTTCTCTTTCTTCTTTGATTTCTCTTTCCTCCATTAATCTACTTCATTTTAATTTTCTTTCTCCATTAATCTTCTCATAATTCAATGGCGGAACTCAAAATTGTTTATGGTAAAAGTAGCAGCAAAGGTTCTTCTTCGAATAAAAATGGCGATGATTATGGTATTTTTTTGCAACTTTTTTTTCCCCGATTTTAGCGTATTTTTTTCCGATTTCTTTTTTCATTTTACAATTTGTTGTCGATTATTTTTCGTAATTTTGTTAAATTATGTGCTTGTTTCTAATTTCAGGCTCTGTTATGATCAAAGATGGTGACGATTCAGGTTTGTGGTTGCGGTTTTTGTAATTTGTTTGTTGTTGAATTTTGTTGTTTAAACCCTAGGTTTTCATTTTAAATTTTCGATGTGTTTTCGATTTTATTTCGTTTGACATTTTAAATTTTGAAACCCTAGGTTGAAATTATTCGTTTGTTTATCGTTTTTCCCCTGTTTGTTGATCATTTACTGTGTTTTCTTATGTTGCATGTTTTATGATTTAATTTGCTTATTATGTTGTGTTTTATTTCACTTCTTTTTTATGTGATGTTTTTGTTCTTTTTTTTCAGCAAAATTAGATGTTAATATTGTTGTCTTATTTCATTTTGTGCCTTGTGTTTTATAATTTTTATAAGTGATGTATAAGTTTTGATGTTGTTCTTATACACATAATTATTTGATCTAGTTCTTTAAGATCATAGTTATTGTTTATATGTTGTTGTACTAGAAAAATGCAAAAAAAAATAAAGTTATGGAGTTTTACAGTGTTTTGCATAGTTTAGTGATTTTTAAAATTATTACTGTAGGTGTTACTTTAAGGTTAGTTTAGGGGGTTACTAGAGGGGTTACTTTTACTTATAGGGGTTACCATAGGGGTTTACTTTATATGCAGGGGTTACTTGAGGGGTTACCAGAGGGGTTACTTTATATGCATGGGGTTACTTGAGGGGTTATTAGAGGGGTTACTTTATATGCATGGGTTACTTTGGTTATTATGTTGTGTATTTGAGTTCATTCTTTTATACATTTTTATGCAATGATATTTTTCTGTTTTTGTGTCCAACATTTCATGTTCAATGTTTTTGACTTGTTTGATATTGTGTTTTGATCAAGTTCTTCAAGATCATAGTTCTTATTTTTATGTTGTTTATGTATTAGAAAAATGAAAATATGTACAGTTATGGTGTTACAATAGTGTTTTGCACACTTCTTAGTGGAGAGATTTTAAAATATATTTCTATAGGAGTTACTTTTACATATAGGGGTTATCAGAAAGTTTGCACAGGTGTTTCCAGAGGTTTTCTGTAGGGGTGACTTTAGGGTTTGTTTAGGGGTTTCTAGAGGGGTTACTTTTACATATAGGGGTTATCAGAGGGGTTATTATACCAGGGGTTACCAGAGGGGTTACCCTGATATCTAGGGGTTAGCAGGGGGTTACCTGGTGAGAAAAATCGGAGTTTTAGAAAAATCGAAATGTGAGAAAATGAAAAATGCGGTGGCTCATTTATTAGGTTTTTGGGAAGTGTGTGAAATGGGTTCCGGTTGTTTGGAAATTTTTGTGGATCCCGTTATTTTTGTTCGCCTCCGTTATTTGTGCTGTGTTGCGTACGGCCGTACGGTGCGGCTGGCACAGAAACGCGCTGAAAACAAAAAAGTAGAGTACAGTAAAAGAGAAAAAGATCAACTTATACGTTGTATTTCCTGATATAATTTTTTGTACTTGTACTACTTTTAGTGACGCCGCCTAATGCATTCGAAATTATTGAAGGATGGCAGTGATTCAGTGAAACAAATGCAGCCTGCAGTTTGTGGGACCCCAAAGACACGAGGATATTTGATCATGATTGTATTATTGGGATATATTGCTAACACCTAAGTTGATATTGTCTACATTTATAATTAGGTGATCCACTCAAATAGTGATCAGCAAGTGTACCTACCTTGATTTATTATTTGACGGTTAGAAGTTGTGTTGTTGATAATTATACTTATTAGACATGAGTGCATGACCTTCGTTTATTATGTGTGTAATGTGTCCCCTAATATAGAAATAATAAGGTGAGACCGAGGCCAATTAAATTTTACGGGTTAAAGACTAGAATAGACTCGGTCTACAAGAACTTATTGTAGACCCAACCTTCTAGTATACCATATGAATGTGATTATATTATACGAAATGTGATTATATTACTACAAAAGTGATTATATCATCCTGAAATTGTTATGTAAATGTATCACTCAAAAAGTGAATTTATCATTATAAAAAGTATCAAATAGTAAATTACATCATTCAAAAGATGATTTTTAAATTTTATCATCCTAAAGATAATTATATAATCTCATTAAATGGTTTAATATGAGATTATATAATTCAAAATGTGACTCACAAAAAGATAATTATATCATCTAAAAAAGTAATTATATCATCCAGAATGTGATTATATTATTTGAAAGTGTCAAATTTTGGGTCTACAATAATTTATTGTAGACCGGGTCCATACAAGACCAATTGTAAATTCTAAATTTGAGAGTTAAATTTGAACAACACATTTTTAGGGGACACACAACATATGACACTGATATTTTGATATTATTGACGATTTTTTTTTTTTTGGAAAATACTTCGTATATTTATAAAATTAGTGACACGGATGACTTAACAAGCAAACTAATAATAATGATTAATTCAAAAGATGACACTTACTATAAAACGTGAGACACATTCTTCAAATAAAAGACTACAAATAATTTTAAAAATAACACTGATATATATATTTTTTTTAAGGGGAAGCCGGGCTAATGCATTAATTAATCAATGGACAATTTGTCCGAGAGTACATAAGGGGAGATCATTACAGGACAATGATTCACCCAAACCTGTTCAACACCAAATGGCATTAGCTTAGCAAGGTGATGGGCAACAATGTTACCATCCCTTTTAACATGAGACCAAAGAAAAGACATAAAAGCACTACTGGTCGACAGAATATCCTCCAAAACTACATCGAAATCTGATAAATAGACAGAAACTTTAGTGAGGCGAGTTATGAGAACTTGGTTGTCCGATTCAAGTATGACATTGTCATACCCAAACCTCTTAGCCAGCTTTACAGCAAGAAGCATGGCTTTCCCTTCAGCAATCTCCGGAGGCCACCAAGCTTTAACTCGTCTTGTGGCAGCAAAGAGCACATTACCTTCACTATCGCGAGCTATAACACCCATACCAACCCAACCTTCCTCACTCAATGACGCATCCGAATTGAGCTTCACAACCCCTACAGGTGGCGGGTTCCATTTGTTGCTGCTAGCTTGTTGCTTTGCTGCTGAAATTGCATATACTTTCTTGCTATATAACCCATGTTCTTCTACGGCTTTATATACTCTCGCAAGCAAGACATCATTGGGGGTGGTTTTGTCGCTAAAAATTTTATCATTTCTTTCCATCCAAATCACCCAAGCAAGGATTGCAGCCCGTTGCTTAACCTTCCTCCCTACCTCACCCCAACGCACAAGAATATCACACATAGACTCACCTTCTTGAAGCACAGCAGCAGCACACTCACTCTCCTCCCATAGCTCCTTCACACGCACACAGTGAAAGATCACATGAGCAGCAGTTTCGTCCTCTTCACCACACCACTGACAGTGAGCAACGTCCACCATATGACGGTATTTCAATAAGCTCTTTGTAGGCAACGTATTTGTACACAATCGCCACAAAATATGTCTTACTTTTGGCGATGCATCCATCCCCCATATAGCAGACCATGCTTAGTGAAATTGGTCTAGGTTGCAACCAGTACCAAGCATATAAGATGTCTTAGTTAAGTACATACCGTCATTCGAAAAAGCCCAAGTGATAGTATCCTTCGAAGCTTGCGCACCCAAGGGGATTGAAAGAATGCACTTTGTGTCTCTTTCATTAAAATTAGAGGAGACGAGCTCCTCATTCCATTCCATTCTCGAGAAATCAACAAGTTCATTCACAGTACTCAACCCCTCTACTTCCGGACTTGTCACAAATCTTCCCTCATCATCTGCAACCCACGGGTCTCTCCAAATATTAACCATGGTGCCATTCCCAATACGCCAAATTAACCCCTCTTTTACCAAAGCCTTGGCACTCCATATGCTCTTCCAAGAATAACTCCCACAAGTGCCCAAATACGAATCAATAAAAGAACAATTGGGGTAATATTTCGCTTTCATCACTCTACTAAGGAGAGAATCCTCCTTATGAATAAGCCTCCATGCTTGCTTACCAAGTAAAGCCACATTAAAAACCTCCAAGTCTTTGAAGCCCATTCCCCCGAAACATTTTGGCGTACACATTACATCCCATGATTTCCAGAATAACACTAATATATATATATATATATATATATATATATATATATATATATATACATCATATCATATAACTAATATATAAAGCTAAACTTTTAGCCAGTCGACGAGACAGCGACACTTGGCGTTCCAACTTTTCGCCAAGTGTCGTGCCACGTAAGATGGAGTCATATAGAATTCAATTTGTACGATAAAAAAGTTAGTTTAGAATTTTATTTCGATCAAATTTGGATAGAATTTTAGGATAAAATTGTTAATTTAAAGTTTTATTTTTGATAAAGTACCAATATCTTTATCATGAATTCTATTTTTTTTTTTTGATAATATACAAATTGAATTATAATTTTATTCATAAAATAATTAGATTATAACTCATATAAATTATTATATAAATTTATTTTTGTATCATAATATTTTTTCTGGAACGAAGAAATTAGTTTAAAATGTACCACATCCATTGTTTATAATATATTCTAATCAATTAAAATAATATACTTCACAGTCTAATATAATTTTATTACTGTGTGTACACCTGTAAATCAGGTCGGATTACCAGTCATTTTAGGCAGGGTCATTATTTCAGGTTACGAATCAAGAAATATTTTTCACCAATATTATTATTATTAGTCATTACATGTCTACAAGTTTAAATCGTCACAAAAACACATCAATTCCTAACTAATTTTGTATCAAAAATATGTTTTAAAATTTGACATATAGATTAAAAATATATCTTAAAATTCAATAAACAACCTGGGCATCGCACGGGCACAAAACTAGTATATATATATATATATATATATATATATACACATTACCTAAGAAGGTGCTTCAATAGAGGAAATTGCTTCAGCAGAGGAAAAAGAAGCTCATAGGCTGCTTCAATGGAGGAGAAAGCTCAAACCTCGCAGCAATCACGACAATCAAAAGCTTAACTCCATGAATTTCGCATGATATGCAACAAATTTCGAATCCTAACAACAATTTATAAAAATTCGAACAAATTAACTAGTGGTAAACCCTAGACTTTGAAATTGATATATTCGATAATTTAAGAAATACTACCTGATGATAAACTGATTTGATGGAGGAGCTACTAATTCAATTGGAGGAGAAAGCTCAGAAGCTGTTTCAATGGAGAAGAAAGCTTAAAATCGCATTAACGGCGAAGAAAGCTCAAAATTCCCTTCAATGGAGAATACGAAGTATGAATGCTCATATTGTGAGGAGAGAGAAAGATTTTACAATTTTATATTTTTGGGTTTGTCTTACTCCGTAGTTTTTCACTCGTCTTTGTTATTTGTGCAAGAAAGGAGCCAAGAAAGACAAATTTTTACAATTTGCCCTTGTTGTTTCGAATTTAGTTTTATCGCCCTTATTGATCAAATATAAGACAACGACTCATTTTTCGTGAAAATAGTATAGTGCACCCGGGTGCATCATGCACCATGCGCATGGTGCACCCGAAAAAAACATTAGATATATTTTAAAGAACATGCTAGTGTTAGAAAAAGAACATACCTGTGTTTGATAAAAGAACATGTTTATGTTTGACAAGAACATGACATTACAAAGAACATAAAGTCTTTACAAAAAGAACATGTTATTTTTCATGGTTATTTAGGTGTTGAACGTATTTGAAAAAGAACATAATATTTGACAAAAAAGAACATGTTCGTGTTTGACAAAGATGTAGGTGATCATTGGGCGGGCCGGGCCAAGGTTAAAAAATCAACTCACTTCTCGGGTCGGGCCAAATTTTGGGCCAAATTTTTTGTGCCCAAAATTGTCCGGCCGTGCGGGCTTTTCGGGTCGAGTAAAAAAAACAACTAAAATGCATAAAACGCATTCCCAAACCCGGCCAAAAAATTAAATTTAAGGGCCGGGTCCGACCCGATTTTGGGGGCGAAAAAATGCTGCCCAGAACCCGTCCAAAATCGGGTCGGGCCGTTCTAACTTTGATCACCTCTAGCCAAAGAACATAAAGTCTTTACAAAAAGAACATGATAATACATTAAAGAACATGTTCTTTTTTTTGGTTACGCGAGTGATTGATTTTTTTTTTTTAATGTACATACATTAAAGAATATATTGTATAATATAAAGAACATATTGTATAATATAAAGAACATATAGTTCAAACTCAAAGAACATAATCATCAAACTTAAAGAACATATTATGCTCATGTTCTTTATAAATATCTATAATGTTCTTTTTTTGCACATGTTCTTTTAAATATACCTTATGTTCTTTCCGGGTGCACCAACCATACATTACATTTTTCGCCCTCTTTGATAACAATAAAATAGGCCGAGTTGCGTATGCGCTGCTTGATAGTTTATAAGAAGGCAAAATTCAAATTGCCCTCTTTGCCAAAATAAAGTCGCCCTCCTTATACTATCCATTCAGGAGAACAAGATCATATTAAAGGTTGTTCATAGTTGCTATTTTTCGGTTTCTGTAGTGTGTAAAATCTGTACATTGTACTAAATGCATACAATGGAGAAAGATTTAAAGAGTAATTAATTCAAAGTTTTTAATTATCTTAGCATGTACACGTTTTTTCCTGTTTAGTATTTAAAAGCAAGAGAGTTATAAGGTCAAAAAATTTACATACATCTGTTGGATGTGTAGCTTTTCAAAATTGATATGCCCAAGCAATTTTCATATACTCGTTTTCATTTTTCGAATGAGCTTTTCTAAAAGGTTTGATACTTAAAAGTTGGTAAGCTAATGTATGATCAAAGGACTGATAAAATAGCTAGAGTTAAAATGATTCAACACATTGATTAATGTTAATCAGTGCTCTAGTTTGCTTGTCTTGGTTTGATTTTATATCTTTATCTAGTGAACTTGGGTGTATTTAATTTGTGGAGTTATTAGTATAATGCTTGAGCTGATGATCAATTAAGCAATGAATGTAAAAGTTTATGATCTTGCTTTTGTTGTCTTCCTATTTTTTGATTTTGGATTTAAAATAAAATAAAATTGTTGGTTTAATTGGAGTGAGCTTAATTATTTAATTCCTTAAAAAAATTAAAAAAAGAAAAAGAAAAAAATAAGCTTATTTTTACCGAAGTAGAAAAAAATAGATAAAACTCATGATTCTACTGTAGTCTTATGACTTTTGACTGCCACAATTTGTTTTTAATGGACAACTAAGATTATTTTATTTTATTTATTTTTAATTGATAATTTCAATTAAAAATATTTTTTCAATTATTTTAAATATATTTTATCTTCCAAGAACTATTTTATAATATTGTTTATATTTTGAAAATAAAAAAATATATATAATAATTAAAAAAATATTTTTAATTAAAATTACTAATTTAAAATAAATCGAAAAAAAATAATCTAAGCCCTCCATTATTAAAAAAAATTTAAAAAAATAAAATTTGTACTTAGAAACTATAAAAAATAGTGAAACACTTAATATTATTACTTAAAATATGAAATTTGGGTCAAATTGAGTCGAATTCGGGTTGTTCAGTACAAATTAGTTTTGGATTTCTCTCATTAACTTCGAGATTGTCAGCCCTACCCATCCATTAAACATTCTTCAGTGGGCCATCTACCCATCTTGTATTCTTTTACTATCAACCATAAAAAAGTTTTTTAGTGTCTATTGAGCTCGCCTTAGTTTTTCTATACTATCATCCACTGTTCTTAAACGAGGTTAGTAATAAAATCAAAAAGATAACAAACCTTAAGGAAAAAAAATAGATAAGTAACTTGACTCTTTGAGGTATCTTAAAGGCATTTTCAATGGAGTCAAAGATCAAAATACACGTAATCCAATGATAATCGGAACACATCAATTATATGTACTGCGTTCCTTACTCTCCTTTAAGTTTCATTGAACTATAGTAGGAACGCATGCATACCGTGTTCAATTATAGAGGACGTTGATCACGGCAATACAAGACTCGTTTTTTCTTTGTTTGCTGGCCCCAATTAATGAGTTGATGACTTTCTATCTAGGGGTGGCAATTCGGGTCAGCAGGTCGGGTTCGGGTCAGATTTCGGGTCGATTTTGGGTTATGCTTAGAAACTATTAAAAATAGTGTAAAACTTAATATTATAACGAAATATGAAATTTGGGTCAAATCGGGTCGAATTCGGGTTGTTCGGGTTCGGTTCAGGTCGGGTTCGGGTCTCTCTCAGTAACTTTGGGTTCGGGTCGGGTCGGGTTTTTGTGTCGGGTCAGGGTTTGCCAGCCCTAATTCTATCAATAATAATGGTGATGCATAGTTTTGCTCCTTGTGTATTCCATGTAAAGTGGATTTTTCTCACCCACTAACTTTCTTCCAATTAAACTACTTGTATTTCTTCCCTTTTATATACAAAGATACTACATCATGTTAATACAATCCTTAACATATGTAGTTATATACAAAGATACAATCCTTAACAACAATAATAATGGATTTTTTTTTTCAAGACAAAGTAAACCATTCATATAATTGACACATCTATATAATTTAATAATAGTAAAGATGTAGTATGTATTCTAGGTTTCCAAAACCCAAATCCTAACATCTCTATGATTGTACAAAATGAAAACTAAAATTATAGTTATATTAATACAAATCGCACATAATCAACATTTATTAAATGATGGGAAATTTTAGAAATGCAATATTACTAAATTTCTATTTTATTCACCTTAATTTTACTATAAAAAAATATTTTTTTACTTAATCTAAATAGTTTTATTACTTAAAATTACTTTTACTGAATATAAAAAATTATAGTTTTTGGTGTTTAGAGAGCCACAAGGACGGTTGATGAGACCGACTGGGAAGCTCTAACCACTTGAGTTATCCCTCACTCTCATATTAATTGTTTAGTAGGTGCAGTGGAGTACAACTTAAGAGATTGTAATATTTTAATTGTTTGACGAGGGTATATAAGTCGCTCCAAATTAAAGAAATTCAATCCTAAAACCAGTTGATTAAGGAAAGGATAGCTCCTGAACCTATAAATTGATTCAACACTATCATCATCGTTATTATTGTTATGGACGAGCTCAAAAAAACAAGGTTTGAAATTAGCAGCATGAACCCATAGAAAATCATCATTTTGATCTGGAAATAAATTCTCATAAACTCTTAATTATTAACCATCTAAGGCTCTTTAGCAATTGGCGTGTGCTTTACTGCTTGCAAGGCCTCAATCTTGATTTGGCTAGTTCTTCGGAAATGTAAATATCAATCCAATCTAATAATTACTGTGTTCCTACTAGGCTGCTACAAGCAAGTTCCTATATAATGTAGTATATATGTGTGCATATCAACGCATAAACATACTACGTACACACAAATAAACTTTATTCTGAAATCATAAAAGAGTGCCATATTTACTTTGGTATTCGTTTTTGTTACTCAGTTCTTAAGCCTTTTCCACTCCGTCTTGCCCAATAGTGTAGAGCGTGTTGCCCTCTTAGAAATTAAGTCGAAAATAAAACTTGACCCTTACGGAGTTTTAAACTCTTGGAATGAATCCCTTCCTATTTGTGAGTGGCAAGGAGTCTTTTGTGGCACCAAGCATCCACATCAACATCGAGTCATTAGCTTAAGTCTTCACAACTACAATTTGGTGGGAACCCTATCACCTTATGTAGGCAACTTAAGCTTCCTTCATTTTCTAAAGTTATACAACAATAGTTTTGGAGGCCACATACAAACCTCAAATTGGCAATCTAGTAAAGTTAAGGGTTCTAGACTTAGAATTCAACAGATTTGAAGGCCAAATACCAGCCAATATATCTCATTGCTTGAATCTTATACAACTTGGCCTAACACTCAACATTCTTTCTGGAATTGTTCCATCTCAAATTGGCCTCTTGTCTAAGTTACAAGTCTTAGCACTTGATGCTAACCAACTTGAGGGTGACCTCCTAAACAAGGTCGTCGTCAATTTGACTAGCCTACAGGAACTGTATGCAATGCGTAATGCTTTTCACGGAAGCATTCCAGACAACATTGGAATAACAAACAAATATCTATCTTATATCGTCATTGCGGAAAATAGTATTTCAGGTATTATTCCTCCTTCTTTCTACAATCTTTCTCAGCTTGAATCGATTTCTTTAAACTACAATCAACTCCAAGGAACTCTTCCCTTAGATATCGGGTTTCTTCTTCCTAAAATCAAAACATTCCACATAGATCATAATTTCTTCCATGGAAACCTGCCAGCCTCTCTTTCAAACCTTACCAACCTTATAATACTTGGTGCTATTAATAACAATTTCACCGGCAAATTCATGTTTAGTTCTAAAAATATGCCCAATTTAAAAGTCATACAAGTTTCCGGAAACTATCTAGGGAGAGGGGAAGCAGATGATTTAAATTTTCTACAAACTCTAGTTAACTGCAGCAAGTTAAAAACATTGGAATTTAGTGGTGATAGATTTGGTGGGATGCTTCCGAAGTTCTTAGGTAACTTATCCACAACACTCACTAATTTAAATTTTCAACAAAATAAAATTTATGGGAGCATTCCATCAGGTTTATTTAACCTCATCAACTTAAGGTTTTTGGATTTGCGAGGTAATCAAATGAGTGGACATCTTTCACCTCAGATAGAAAGGCTAACTAAATTAGAAATTATTGTCATGTATGACAATTATTTCACTGGTAATCTTCCTAATTCATGGGGAAATATGTCACATTTGAGCGATTTCTATTTAGACTACAATAGATTTGAAGGTTCAATACCCGCAAGCCTTGGAAACTGTACAAATTTGTTGTATTTGGTGCTGGCACAAAATAACCTTAGTGGAGCCATCCCTCTTCATTTATTCCATGCTTCTTCAATGCTAGTTGACCTACTCTTGTACAACAATCAATTACATGGGAGGTTCCTAGGAAAGGTGTTTTTTCAAATCAAACTGAATCCATAATTCTTGGGAATAGCAAACTTTGTGGTGGGATTCCTGTCCTCCATTTGCCCGCATGTCCATCAAATCCTACTACAAAAAGAAAGAGGGGAAAATTGTCTGTTCCTGTGATTGTGATCATTGTAGTAGCCTCTTTGGTCGGGAGTGTGTCCATAGTGGCATTAGTGTATTTCCTACTTTGTTCAAGGAGGAAACGAAACAAACCATCTCAAGGATCCCAGTTGAATTTGATAGAGCCGTTCTCGAAAATATCTTATGACATGCTTCTCAAAGCTACAGATAGGTTTTCGGAAGCAAATTTACTTGGCGTAGGTCGTTTTGGGTCTGTTTATAAAGGGGTCCTTGATCATCAAGAGAGAAATACAGTTGTGGCTGTTAAAGTTATCAGCCTTGAACAGAGAGGAGCTACCAAAAGTTTCATGGCAGAGTGTGAAGCATTAAGAAGTATCCGTCATAGGAACCTTCTTAAGATTGTCACGGTTTGCTCGAGTACTGACTTTCAAGGCAATGATTTCAAGGCTTTAGTGTACGAGTTTATGACAAATGGAAGTCTTCATCAACGGATTCACACAGATCCACGTTTTAGAAGACTAAGCCTTCTTCAAAGGGTAGAGATTGCAATTGATGTGGCGAGTGCACTGGACTATCTGCACAATGGTTGCGACACTCCTATCATTCATTGCGACCTAAAACCAAGCAACATTCTCCTTGACAATGATATGGTTGCTCATGTTGGGGACTTTGGGTTAGCAAGATTTCATTTGCGTGCAACTGCGAATAACAGTAGCTCAATAGCAGTCAAAGGCACGGTTGGATATGCAGCTCCAGGTAATTAATATGAAATAATAACACTGAAATCGAAACTTATAATGTATTTAAGTAAATAAATCAGAATTTATAATTTAAGCACGCATCTTTTCTCTGCTTTGAAAAACCCTGTTTTGAACAGAATATGGCTTGGGAAGTATGGTGTCTAAGGAAGGTGATGTTTACAGTTTCGGCATTGTGTTGTTAGAGATGATGATTTCAAAGAGTCCCGCTGATGAGATGTTCGAACGAGGTTTAGACCTTCACAATTATGCTAATTCAGCAGCATTGTCTGATCAATTGGAAAACATCATTGACCCAAGGCTCCTAGAGGATGGAGGTACAAGTGAAGGAAACGAAGGCAAAATTTTGACAGAAATTGACAGGAAACATAAGTGCATAAAATCTATCATCGAAATTGGAGTAAAATGTTCCGTGGAGTCACCACAAGATCGAATGAGGATCAAAGATGCTATTGGGGAGTTGCAAGTAACAAAGGATGCTCTCCTTAAACAACTACATGTCATTCGTGCAAAGCGCGTCTAGGTACATACTTTTAAATTTCATATTTTCTAGTATATGCCAAATTCATCACTTACAGTACTGAAATTGCTAGGCTCTTGCAAGAATCGTGCATGCTAGCAGCAGAAGTATAAGACTACTGTGAGACATTATTAGCATAAACTAAGTGTAAGTTTGCTTTCGATAGTATTTCTCTGTTTAAATGATGTAACAAAAATGCTCAAGAATAAAAAAAAAAAAAAAAAAAAAAAAAAAAAAGAATGTCGATTGCTTTTTGATATTTCAATTCATCATGTTGCACTTTAATATTTCCTCCTATATTGTGCTACTCATACTTGTATATCCTTATAAATTTTAAATTGAGTTGGAAGTTTGAACAATGGTAATCCAATGTCTCTTGAAAAGGAATTTTAGACCTAAAAAGAGAAAAATAAAAAAATAAAATAATAATAATAATAATAATAATAATAATAATAATAATAATAATAATAATAATAATAAGATATTCATATACTAGGGATTTAAAGACTACTTCACTTCTTCTTCTTTTTTTTCAGCCCAGTGTTGGGTTCAGCCAAGTGTTGGGTCCAGCCCAGCCCAAATTCTTGCCTAAAATGCGGCCGTGATCATCTCTAAAAAGAAGAGTACAGTAAAAGAGAAAAAGATCAACATATACGTTGTATTCCAGTAAAAGAAATTTGTGTACTTGTACTTTTAGTGACGCCGCCTAATACATTCGAAATTATTGAAGGATGGCAATGATTCAGTGAAACTGTGAAACAAATGCAGCCTGCAGTTTGTGGGACCCTCAAGACACGAGGATATTTGATCATGATTGTATTATTGGGATATATTGCTAACACCTAAGTTGATATTGTCTACATTTATAATTAGGTAATCCACTCAAATAGTGATCAGCAAGTGTACCTACCTTAATTTATTATTTGATGGTTAGAAGTTGTGTTGTTGATAATTATACTTATTAGACATGAGTGCATGACCTTCGTTTATTATGTGTGTAATGTGTCCCCTAATATAGAAATAACGGAAATTTCACCATATACCACTGAGTTTAAGCTTAATTGACCGTAAACCACCAAAAACTTTCTAATATACCAAATACCATTCAATTATTGTACATTAACATGAAATACTTTTTTGGCTAACTGCCGTTTGGGATAATTTACCATTTCACCATGTACCATATATCTCCTGATTGACGAAGTTTTTTTTGAAAAATTCTTCGTATATTTATAAAATTAGTGACACGGATGACTTAACAAGCAATAATTCACTAATAATAATGATTAATTCAAAAGATGACACTTACTATAAAAGGTGAGACACAATCTTCAAATAAAAGACTACAAATAATTTTAAAAATAACACTGATCAGATTTTGTTGACTACAAAACTTTAAAAAAATATCATGTAGATACATCCTGGATTCAAAGCTAAAATCAAGTGGTGGATAAAAAAAACAAAAAAAAAAAGGTTTATTCATCACATATAAAATTCAATTGTTAAGGGTTCGTTTGGCATCGTTGTGGTTTATTGTTTTTTGGTTTTTTGTTTTTTAAAAGTATATTATCTATGTCACATAATAAATAAAAAATTATTTAGAGTTATTAAAATAATAATAATTTTGAAAACTGACAACAGAAAAGTGGAAACACTTTTTTCTTGTTTCCTGTTTTTGGTTTAAAAAAAAAAAACTGAAAACAAAAAATGATGTCAAACAAGCCCTAAACAATCATAAATCATAAGGAGTCCCAAAAACAAATGGTGCAACGTACCCTACTTAAAACGATATTAAATGCAAGATCACGAATCAAAATCACGACCTTAACAAAAAATTATAGCACCAATCTATGAGTTGGCCAATTTGAAGATTTTGAACACTCAATAGTCAATAGTAACACGCATTGACAAATGACAATATAAGATGGAAGTTTCTCTTTCATAAGTAATCAAAAAGTTGTTTGCCGGTAAAATTTGTCTCTTTAATAATCCCCTTTATCTTTGTATGACCAGTCCCCTTCTTTATTCTTCCTCCTTTACATTTTAACCCCACCCCACTTTAACTTGAACTTAAATTAAATCCTATAACCGTTGTTATCATTTCGTACCATTCAAACCTTATTCTTTATAAAATTCATATCTTACCTTATATTAAAAACTTCCCACCTTCCTTTTTTCCTACCCATTTCCGAAATTTTCAACTCTAACAAAATATAAAACATGGGACTCTTAGGCGACATTATAGGCAAGGTCAAGGACAAGGCTTCAATAGGCAAGGCAGCCCTCCTCTCCCGCAACCACACCACGGCCGCGCTCCGTCTCACCGTGTTACGTGCCACTAGCCACGAGGCCGATACACCACCTCAAGAATCCCACCTTGCGGCAATACTCGCCGCAGGAGAAGGTCCACGTACGGCAGCAGCCGTCGTGATTGACGTTCTCATGCGGCGACTTCACAAGACGTCTTCTTCAGCAGTAGCAATAAAATCACTCTTAGCTCTCCACGTCATTGTCCGACGTGGAAACTTCATATTACACGACCAGCTTTCTGTTTACCCCGCTACTGGCGGGCGTAACTACCTTAAACTCTCCGATTTCCGGGACAACTCGTCTCCGATAACATGGGAGTTGTCCACGTGGATCAGGTGGTACGCCAAGTACCTGGAGCAGATCTTGTCTAGTTCCAGGATTGTCGGGTATTTTCTATTTTCGACTTCGTGTAGCCTCGAGAGGGAAAAGGGTAAGGAAATCATCGCCTCGCTTTTATGCAAGGACTTGTTAAGGGATATCGATGGATTGATAAATGTACTGGAGGAAATTTGTAAGAGTCCTGATTGTGTTCATTTAGAGGGTAATAAGTTGTTACTAGAAGTAATGGGATTAGTAGGTGAAGACTATTTTACTACGGTAGATGAGATTGTTATTCGAGTTGAGGAATTTAAGGAACGATTGAGTTGTTTGAGTTTTGTTGATTCTGTTGAGCTGGTTTGTGCTCTTAAGAGATTGGAGGACTGTAAGGAGAGACTCGGATCTATGTTCGAGGTAAATGGGTCGGGTTTGGTTGAGGACTTGTGGTGTTTAGTTAGTGAGATGAAGGATAAAGTTGGAGAAGTGAAGGGGTTTAAGGAGGAGAAGATGGTGCTAAGTTGGGGAAGGTTCGAGTCGGCTCGGTTCGGAGAGCGGGTTAAGCCGCAAGACTCGGTTCAGTTTGCGTCTAACCGGTTTGCGTTTCAGTTTGCTTATGGTGAGCTTGTAAGGTGAGGTGATCTTGGTTCATTTAGGAAATTAAGGCTTCTTAATTAATTACTTTTATTTTAGTTTTGTTTTTTTTGTGCTTTTTTTTGGGTGTAATTGGTGGGGGTATGAGGGAGGGGGTTTACTTTTTGTATGTAAATCTCTGTATTTTAGCAAAATTTGTGACTAATTTTGTCTTTTTTTTAGATTGATTTAAAGGGATGATATGTTAGTATACTTTATTATTGAATTGTCAACTTAAGTCCTAGTCTAAATTTGGGAAAAAATTTCTTCCCCTATAACTTGTATGTACTATGACTACTTTCCCAAATGTAACACTTTTCGTATTATTTTTAATGTGCATACAAATATTTTTTTAAAAAAAAAAAATCTTGAATAAAAATAAGTGTTATGGAGTATACAAAAATTCAGATTACTTATATGATAAAATTGGATCTTAATGTCTTAATGAATGGGTGAATATGACAGTCAAACATCATTATCAAACATGGTAAGAGTACTAAAGCGAAAAGTAATCAGAAATTGCATTGATCTGATATGACAAAATTGGATGTTAATGATGACAATAAGAATTCAAAGCCGAATGATTGCTACAAGCCTACAAGCATGACGCGCATACTCTCTACTACTAATCTTCTAATCTAGGAGGGTGCCAAAATGATGAGTTTCATGACATATTAACCACGTAATTAGCATTAATAATTTAATGCTAAACTTCTATTATGAGTCATTTAATTATTATGGAGTGCATTGTTAGGTTGTATTAGGTAGAATAAATTAGTACTAAATGTCTGTAATTATCATTAATTTATTAGTCATGTCATCTGTTTTATTAAGTAAGATGGAGATAAATGAAGCAAAATTGAATCATTAGTCATATAACGTAGCCTAATAGAGTAGTAGATAAACCTTCTAGGACGGAAATAAAAAATGTGCAATCAGAAATGTTCTCGATGGCTGTTATGTGACAAATAGATATTCCCTCCGTGGTTTTTTAAGTGTTACGGTTTGACTAACACATAGTTTTAGACATTTTAATTGACTTAAATAAAATAAGAGGTAAAGTGGGGTAGTTGGAGTATTAAAAAATTGTAAAAGAAAGTGTGGTTAATAGTTTATTGAAAAGTAATGAATGTAAGAGGAAAGATATAATAAAAAAGTAGTTGTGGGTTTAGGTGGAAACCATTAGAGGAGAGAGATATAATATTTTAATGTAGCTTTTTGCCAAAAATGGAAGTGTAACACTTAAAAAAACACGGTCGAAAATGAAAAGTGTAACACTTAAAAAAAACACGGAGAAAGTACAATATTTTTTGAGAACAACTATCGATTGTAGTCTGAAAATCAAAAATTGTAGTGCTACTCAAATTTTATGTGTTTTGTGGTAGTTATCTTTTTTTTAAAAAAAAAATAAAAAATAATCGGTAATTGTTCTCTAAAGTAATCAATTTAATGGTAGTGTTGACAAAATCTCCTATTTTAAAATATTAGTTTTTTGTAATTTTAATTAATTCTTCCCTACTTTATAAAAAGTAGAATCTTGCTCTTATAAATAGTGTTGTGACAATTATAACCCCAAAAATGTGTATTTACGCATTTGCCCCCATTTAATATTACAATATTTTTTTAATACTGTATATATTCTCTCTGTTATTACGTACTTTTTCATCTTCCCATTCAATCGGTTGAATTATTGGTTTTAAGTTTCAACCACAAAGTCACTGATAATCTTCAAAGGTATTTTTCAATTTTAATTTCAATTGTTTTATAAGGTTTTGATTGATTTTAGATTTTAAGGTATTATCCTTTTTAAATTTTAAGGTCTGGGTATTCATCTATTTTTCCTAAATTTGATTGGATTTTGAAAGAAAAAAATATAGTAGATAATTAAAGTGAATGGAGAACCAGAAACACTATAAGCGAGGGAAATATAACAACTTCCGAGCACTACCCCATGGAAGCCTCGCATGTCTCTTTCTATTCTTTCAATTTGATCATTTCATGAATATTTGTCAGTGACTTTGTGGTTTGTCCAGTTAAGCGCTACCTATACGATTTTTTAGGATTTTTTAGGATTTTTTATTTTATTTTTTAAAATCATCTTTAGACTGTACTTTGGTTTTGATTTTGGGGATTATAAAATTTTACAAAGGTGGCTTTCAACATTGCTATTAGATTCGTTGTTATGAGATGCAAAGGACATCCAAATTTCGATTATAATTTTGGGATTAAGAGCGTAAAATGAGAGTCCACAACTTTAAAAGATACAATTTTTCAAGGTACATGTTTTTTAAAGGGAGTAGAATGCATTTGTGCTTAGGCTCTGGATGTATATTCTATATTTGAAGGAAAGGAGGTGTGAGTAGTTCTCTTATCAATCCTAATCTACCTTAAAGGTTTATTGTTACTTGTTAGAAGAGAAGATACCACTTTTCTAGTGAGATTGATATGATGCATCCTAATAATGCTATATGCTCTACATCTAATGAGTATCAACTTAATGATTTACTGTATTTCTTTGTATTGTTGAGTTGAATTAAGTTGAGCTCAAGCTTGGCTGCATTGGATAACTCAGTTCTTCTTACATTGGGTTTAATTACAGAGTATTAAAAATAAAAAAATAAAGCGTCTGGATCAATATACAAAGTGAGGAAAAAAAAAACTACTCCGTATTTTATTATTTTGGATTTTTACATTGGGTTCAAGCTACCAAACTTTATATATTAGATGATCATATTAGACTTAACAACAATACATACTAAGTATAAATGTACGTTGCATTGGACTTGAGCAAAATCCAAACTCAAAACTAAATTTAACACCTAAGAGTCCTAACTACTTATAGGGTACCCATGAACAAATTGATGCAAAATTTCATTATTCTTCTGTTTGTTTCTCTTTGTTTTTCAGCTTGTAATATGTATCAAAATTTTATTCTAGAGAATCATCTAGACTCTATAAGAAAAGCATGTAAATGCTATTTTTTACTCTTTAAAATACATAAGAAAAGATTAAGGATATATGATTTTGAACTTAATAGTCGATTATTGCTCTTTCTAAAGGTTCATTGTATTAATTCTTACCAGTTTCAAGGTATTTAAAGATTGTATAAGACATTTTACGTGCAAAATGCTTACTAATCATAACTATTTACAAGCTAAAATCTTAAGTACAAAGACAAGCCTTGATAACTTCTCCGCATTGGCTATCCATGTCGCGCGCATCGCGCGTGTTGGCCACCCTAGTATTTATATAAGCATGGGCAGAGGTACGGGAGGGGCCAGTGGAGGCCCGGCCTCCCCGGTCTATATTGGCAGCCTAGTTTTTTTAACTGTTGGCACCCATAAGTTTTATGATATATGTAAATGTTAGCTCAAAATAAAAGAAAAGTTGGGCTGCTTAGTTGGTTTGATGAGGGTATGATAATGTTTTGTTGGCATGAGATCAAGGGATCAATCCTTCATCTATAGTTTTATTTTTGACTTTTTTTACTTTCTATCATTTTAAAAATGTATATATTTTGATTTTAAGGTTTTTTTTTAAAAAAAAAATAATTATACACATGTGAAAATAATGTGATCTCTTCTACTTCTTCTCAAAGCCATTTCATTCCTATTTTTCTAACTAACTTTTTATTATAATATCATTTTTTTATTACTATTTTTTTTCTTACAAAATCTATATACATATAAGATGATCAAGATTTGACATTGGTATTAAAATTTCAAATAATTGCATTTTTTTTCCTAATAGCTTTTAAATATTTTTTTCTTAAAAATTTATATATATAAGAATCGGCCCCCCGGTTCTTAAATTCCTGACTTCGCCCCTGTATATAAGTCATAAGTTACAATTGAATGAAAACTTGTTATCATCGTTATACAGTTATACTATACAGATGAACGTACTTTGAGCAACAACCTGATATGAAGTTCACGTTTATATCACTCAAAAAATCCCCATAACTCCTTAAAGGTCTTAGCTCTAATAACAATATGATATATTTTTTTTTCATATACTTAAAAATAGAAAATATATTTAGGTAACCTAAATACCAAAAATGGTCATGGTTGTAGCCTGTAGGTCTAATTTGTTCATGGAACATGTATTAGTTATGCAAATTGCAAAGTGTAAATGTAGTCATTGGCGAGGTAGAACATAAAGAAGAATGATATCCGTATTTTAATTGGTTACTAGTCTTTTTAATTACTTAGTACATGTGATGACCAAGGTGGGCCAGTGGGCCGGGTTATAAATGTTGTACATCAAGTTGACGGGCCTTCTATTTTTGGCTTTATTAATGAATAAGAGTATAGTTTCATTTACACGCTTTGATCAAAATCTCTAGTTCTCAACTTCCTCATTAACTCACAATATCATTCCATGCATAAATACGTCGGTAGCATAGCATGTCACATCATTTATCTTCTTTGGTGTAATAAGTGTGTTAAATACGGGTTTGAGTCACACCACAAATTAAAAGAGATAGTCCATTCAACCATATAAAAGGAGATTTTATCCTATAACCATATGGCAAATAGGCCCATTAGCCACTTAGCTTTATAAAATGTTTAACTCTCTCAACTTTTATCAATGTGAGACGTTTATATGTGTTATTTGGTATGATATACGTAAACAAATTATTTCTATAACTCATTCTTAATTTGATCATGTTTACAATTTACTTCGTATTCAAGTAGTATAATGACTATAATCGTGATTGTGTCTATAGCTTTAAGTGTGATTATAAAAATACTTTGTTCTTAACTAGGTTAGGCCCACGCATCGCACGGATTTTACAAAAAAAATCTGCTCATCTATATTTGCAATGTACTTATAAATGATAAATATTCTAAATTAAATTTTTTATACATATTATTTATAGATAGTAGCATTCGCAGCAAGTCTTGTAGTGCCATTGAAAATTTTGTGAAAATAGAAGGGGAGTAGGTCTTTAGGATCAAGGAATCTGATACATGTAGAGAATGGAGTGAATATATTGAGGGAAGTTCTTATTGTTAATTTGCATTGATTATGAGCAGCATATTTATAGTAAATACAAGAGTATATACTACGTATATGATAATAATAATAGCTATAGTAATTCTAGGAGGAAGTTACGAAATAATATATACAAGTTAAGCTAAAGTCTAAGAGCCAACTTTGAAATATAAACAAAATAATTAATTGTTATAAATAAGTATTGACCAGAAAATCAGTCAATTATAATCCTTATCAGGAGGTTGTGATTATAGACTTAAGGTATGTTTTCTTCAGATTATTTTCTTTTCATTTCAGTTGTTAAATTGGGAAATTGGATTTGGTTTAGCTTGTTTCACCCTTTGTATTGCTTAAGCTCAAGCAAGCTAATTTAAATAACACTCGTAAATCAACTTTCAAAGTACTTGATGCGATGTACTCAGTTTCTTAAGATATGGTCCTATTCACCTAAGAATTTGCCATATCCTGATTTGAATTCTCACAATACTAGTACAAATCTTCTACTTGCACCTTAATCAAATTATCACAACACTAATACTAATTATACTACGAGAGTTAGGGATGGTCTGGCTCAAGTGGTTAGAGCTCCCTTCCCGATTTCAAGTGATCCTGGCTTGATTAACAAAAAGTGCATATATATTATATAGCCTCCCACTTATCGACGTGTCTGCTTGCTTTGTTAGCCTGCGATGTGAGCATACATAACACAATATTAGTTGTTGTTATATATCGAATAATATATACAAGTTGTAACAACAATAAGCAAATTCAATCCATTTATTTTTTGAATGAAACATACGTATATACGAGGAATAGGGTCATTTTGAATCTAATCGAATTCCTTACCTCTTTCTCCCAGTTGCATCTCATTGTAATAATGCCTAATATCATTGTTTGAACTGCAGTTCCTACAATCATTCCGCCCCATATACCCTATGTATTCGATCATTAATTTGTCAAATTTTCAAATATTATTGTATCATCGGACTGAAATGAAACAAATTAGAATACTTAAATGTGAAAGGTAAATTAAATATTTACGTACCGTAACACCTCCATGTAATGTCCATCCCAGCAAAAGGCCTAGAGGGATGCCTATGAGATAGTAACTACCAATATTTACGTATGCCACAATACTTTGCCACCCTGATCCGACCGCAACACCTACAAGGAAAAAAAAAATTAAAAAAAAAAAAACTAAAGATTAAGGGTATGTTCTCCTTGACTGAACTCAGCTGAATTGAACTGAACTGAACTTATTAGAGCTGAATTGAACTAAACTGGACTTAACTGAACTGAATATTTTATAAGAGGGGGAAATTAGGAGTTGAACTGAATTGAAATGAATATTTTATAAGAGAATAAAATTATGAGCTGAATTGAACTGAGCTGAACTGAACTTATTAGAGCTAAACTGAACTGAATTGAACTGAAAATAATCGTATGAGAACAGACCCTAAGTAGCACAAATAATTTTTTTTTTATCTTGTTATCTTGCATTTTTATAATATTTTCTATATGCTTCTTGAATTATTTATATTTTTCGATTTAGACTCTAATTAAGTATGTTAAGGTATTATACGTAACTTATAAAATGGACCATGTGGTGTCAAGTATTTAAGAATTGATTTATAATATACTCCCTCCGTCCCAAAAAGAACGATCCATTTGGGTTGATTACGCGGGTATTAAAGAAGTTAAGTAAAAAGAAGTAAAAATATATTGGAAAGATAAATTTACATGGGGTTTGTAAAAAAATAGAGAGAGAAAGTAATAAAATAACATGGAAAATGAAACTTTTATATGGGGAAGCTAATTTTGGTGGTGTTTTAATGCAAATGGGTCATTCATTTTGGGACAAAGTTTCGGCTAAATGGATCGTTCTTTTTGGAACGGAGGGAATAGATAATTAGAGATATCGATGGTTAAGCATGTAGCATGTTTCATACAATATACAATTGTGGCACACTAGACCTACTACATGTAGGTACGTGTTTTAGAAATTTAAGAACTTACCGGAGAGAACGGGTTGGAGACTGTTGAGGAGGATAGTGAAAGCAAGAAGGACAGAGAGTTTATCAACCTCGTCAAGAACAGGTTGGCTGTTTGAGAAAATTAAAGCCAATTTGTCGTGGAAAATCATAGCCAAAAGCCAGAAGACAACCCCTATTGCTATGGAGGTCGTCGATGCTACTATGGTTGCAAATCTAGCTCCTTTTCCATTCCCAGCTCCTAGTTCATTTGCTACTCTTACGCTGTATGTTTATTCATCATCAAATTAAAATTAATTATACCATTTTCAATTTATGAAACTTGCAAGTTGTAAGCATTTCATTATACTTGTTTAAATTAAATCTACCAGAACAATTAAAAGCATAACATTATATATTGAGGATGCCCCAATTTCTCATGGTGTTTCTCACCTGACATTTTCGTGAATAAACCAACATTTTTATTCAACTGTGGAGCCCACAATGATGAAAAAGTTGTTGATTTATTTACGAAAACGCCCCGTGAAAACAAATTTCACTTCTCGCCATGAGAAATAGGGAATTTCCCTTATATATTAGGGTAATTAAGCAATTAAAAATTTGGGAAATTCTACATAATACCCCTAGGGTATTGACTATTCCACGTTGTGCCCCTCCCTTTGAAAAGTTCCACACTATAACCTCAAGGTCCCAAATTAAAAGTGATTAAGTTGTACCCCTGCCGTTATCCCTCTGTTACATGTTGGCGTTAGTGGGGCCCACTTTACTATTTTTTTTTTCTCGATTTACGTGCTAAAAAAGTCCCATTAAAGATTCTAGGGGTAATTTTAGGCTTAAAGGATCCAAATTGAGCTCGGATTTTGCAATAAAGTAACGTAAAAGCCCCGGTTTATGAATTCTAAATTTAACTATGAGAATTCAAATTCACAAAACGAGGCTTTTACGTTATTTTTTTTTTTGCAAAATCCAAACTCAATTTGGAATCTTTAGGAATAAAATGACCCCTAAAACCTTAAATGGAACATTTTTTTAGCACGAAAATCGAGAAAAAAATTAAATAGGTGTAAAGTGGGCCCCAATAACGGCAACATGTAACAGAAGGATAACGGTAGGGGTACAACTTAATCACTTTTGGAACCTTGAGGTTACAGCGTGGAACTTTTCAAGGGAGGGGCACAACGTGGAATAGTCAATATCTCAGGGGTATTACGTAGAATTTCCCTAGAAATTTCTTACATACCCAACACCAGCAAAGAACGCAAAAGGTATCATTATTTCCCACTGGTTGATGCTGGTGCTACAAAACAGAAACAATGAACCAAAATGCTCAAGTTAGAAAAAGAGCTTATCAGAAAAGACAAGAAAAATAAGGCTGAAAACAAAACTTGTACACTAGTAGAGTTAGTACCACATGAACGAAGAATCACATCACAAATGTCAACTAAGTTTTCGACAAAAATTGCATGTACTAGTACTTAGCTATCTGTGGGACTAATATTAGCCTTGATTGTTGGCTATTTGTTGCACCTTTTTTGTCAATGCAATATCGTGATTAAAATATACTTCAAGCTAGCTATGTATTTCAAAAAATTATACGGAGTAGTGTTTATTGTAAAACAAATTAAACCGTAAGGTTTTAAAATTATACCTTGAATTTAAATCTAACAAAATATCACATTTTAATCTACATGCCTACAAATCCACCAAAGTACGAGTACAAATCACTAAATATAAGTTAAAATAGAGTATATATAAATTGTTCAAAATGTCTAAATAACTAACAGTACAATAATTTACTAATAAACTACTAAGTTTCCATATTCCAAAGGAAAATCAAAGTGAATATCCCACATTGGTGAGGAGAACAAGAGGTAGAAATAAAACAATTTATCCGTTGGCTATTGGTTTTTATACAAGTATGAAAAATTAAAAAATTGTTTAAACTCTCTTGTTCTCCTCACCGATATGGGATTTTTTTTTTCTTTTTTCTTTGAGGAAACCGATATGGGATAATTAGATACATAAAGTATGCCTTATTTCGGTGCATCTAAAATATTAATAAACAAGAAATTAAATATAAATACTGAGTAAAAAAAATAGCCTTTAAATAGGAGACAACTTATAATAAAAATAAAATTCACATTGAACAAGTTGATTCAAAACATAATACCATATTGACAAAGCATCCAAGGCGATATCTGCATTCTTCAAATTTCCTGTCATCAACATCAATGCTGTAGAGTACCAGTACTCCAAACTGCCCATTCAATACATGTACACCAATTAATATTGACAACATTCGTGATGATACTATCATTGACTGTAGAACAAATTATCCATTGCAACATTCAAGATGACAATTTATCCACTTCACATTATAACAATTTGTGCTTCCAAGAATAATAAATTCTTATAGGTTAACAACACCTACATTTCCTTTATTCATATAATTAGGTCTTGTTCATTTCACCAAATATTTTTCTTAAACTTCAATTATTTTTACTAAACTGTATTATTTTTATTGAAATAAAACTATTTTTACTAATTCTACATTATTTCGTTTTTCTTAATTTTATTTCATGATTACTCGTATTATCCAAGATTGTTGATTTTACAAGTAATTATACTTAGAAAAAAAAAAGTTTAAAATACTTAAAATTGCATGTTAGCCTTAATTTATTTTTTAAATAGAAATTGCATCTTACTTGAATTAAGAAAAAAAAATTGTTTTTTAATATAAACAATACAAAAGACCAACTATAAGCATTTAAATTATTTTTTAAATTATTATAAAATACTTGAATTGCATTTGAGTTAAAATGAATAAACAAAATTGAATGTACTTTTAAATAATGAGTTTTTTTTTTTAGTATTCGTGAATGAGATTAGATCGAAAAAGTGCAAAACTCAAAGTGTCAGTAACACAATTACCAGATCATGACACCGGAAGCAGCAGAGAGCTTGATAAATTCCCATAGACCAGAAAAGGCTTCCATAGAGAAACCAGCCCAACAAAAGGGGCAACCACCCCAAAAAACAATGTATCCAAACAACACCAAAGCTTGTATCCACCAAGCCAAGCACAAAGCAATGGCTACTCCCATTACACCCCACCCAAGTACCGTGACCAATATCCATGAACCAATAATTTGAAAAACGACACCAACTATCGAAACCCATGCCATGATCCCGGGCTGCAGTTGGCTTTGAAGGAACGTCTGCAGCGGGAAGAGGAACGGGAAACATAGGTGCAATGGTATTAGACACAAGGTCACTGTCCCGGCTAGATCCGCAACATGGTCCGGTTGACCCAATAGCTTTAATAATTGGGTTGAAAAAATGAACAAAGGTAGTAGAAGTATAGAACATGTGAACAAAACTATCCATGACCTTTGCATGTACACACCCAACATGTAATACTTTTTTGCACCATATGCCTGTCCACATAACGTCTCTAGTGCACTTGCCATTCCTACCTATTAAAACAATCACGATTATAATATATGATTAAATTTCGCACATTGACAAACACGTAAGTCAAAATGAAATAGCTAAGAGAATATATTTTCCGTATGTTGTTTTTGTTGGTCTTTTATAATTTTCACTTATCAATTTCATGGTTATCATATACTAATAAAAGGTTCTATCAGTTTAATTAAGCTAAGATAATCAAGGTGGATTATGTTCAAATAAATAAAAGAAAATTAGGTGAATAAAACTTAGTATCTACCACAACTCTTCAAAACCTAAATTGTCACCGCCTTTACAGTGTTTACACTCCCTCATTAAACAAACAAAATATGGAGTAGTTTCTACGCTCTCCGATTCTTTTCGATGTTATTGTTTGAATGCATCTTTTAAATCATTCCCAATATATACAAATCAAACATTAAAGCCATGTAGTGGTGTGTTAGATATGTCTCAAAATGTATACTTTGGGACTATTAAAATTTAAAATTAAAGTTTTCTATTATATATGGAATTAAAGGTAGGGAGTATTAAATATATGTGTCTAGACAACATCAATAGTCAAAAGATGAACATAAAAAAATGAAGGGAGTTCTTTCATTCTCTTACACTCTCAGCCTTTATTTTAATTACCTTCCCAATTACATTTTGTGCAATATTTAATGTAGAACTTTGAACATTAATATCTTTAATTTTGTATTATACAGTAGAAAATACTCCGTATAAAACATTAATGCTATGAAAAAAAAACCTAATATAATCCACCTAATATATTTTTTTCTTATTACTCGTAAATAGAAATCACAAAAGACAACTAAAGTTTGACAACATAAATAATACAGAGTAAATAGGAAAATAAAAATAATAAATAAATAAAATAAAAATAACTACTCCATAACTTTCTTTTCAACATCCAACACATTAGGTATGGAGTACATATAATAACAAAAGATTGAAAAAAAAAAAAATCAAAGTCAAGTTGATTAATAGATTAAATTATACAGGAGTTGGTTTTGCGTCTTAATTAGCATAAAATTTAGAGGTTAATTGATGATTAGATTTGAGTCACAATCACATATAAATACTCTCCGTTTATTTATATTTAAAACATATATTCTTTTGACACGCATTTAAAAAGAATATATTTAAATAAAATTAATGAGAATGAAGGATTAAATTACTAATCACAAATCATTAGTCACCTAAAATCTGAAAGGGAGCTCTAAGCTTCTAACCACCCGAGCTATCCCTCACTCTGTCCTCCTAACTTCTAATCTTTACCATTTTCATGTTACAACTTATTACTCCCTTCGTTCCTTAATATAATGTCTCTTTTGAACATTTATTCCTTACATAATAAAGAAAAATAGACATTGTATTAAGGGACGGAGGGAGTATTTTTTAAAAAAAAAAAAACAAACAAACAAATAACAAATAAACGAAACTTCAATTTTGACCACTTATAACTTGTACCCCGTGAGCCGTATATCTCTTATAAGGTTCACTACTTCACTTTAATAAATGGAATCGAAACGTGTATCACGGACTAATGTGGCGGAAAGATAATTTTGACTGGATAGGATTAATCATCTTATATTATTATTATCTGGTAAATAATTCACAGAAAAAAAAAATTAAAAAAAAAAATCTCTTCCTATGATTAAAAATTAATAGAAGTAAGGTAAAAAAATGTTAATACTCCATACCTTTTTTGTTAATTACACTAAAACCATTATTCTCTTAAAAAATATTTCAAATGTTAAAAAAAAAAACAAAAAAAAAAAAAAAAAAAACAAAAAAAGGAGATTGTAAACACCGAATCAAGAAAAAGCTTTTACTCCTACTCCACATAAAACATGAGTAAAAGAGTGTAGAACGTAATACCAATAGACCACAAGTAAGGCCGACGATGACGTTGGAGCCAAGGGAGATGGCAGCGAGTTCAACATCACCGATGTGGCCGGCGAAAGACTGAGCGATGACAAACAACGTGTAGGCCGCGATACGAGTAACGATAGTCGGACCAACAATGTGCCATAGCTTCTTAGATTCAATCCATACCCGCTTAGAAAGAGCTAGGTCGTCGTAAAAATAATCATAATTTTGTGTTATTCCTTCATTTGATGTTGAATCTTCGTTATTTTCTGATATCAAAGGAACTGCTTTGTCTAATACCATGGTAGCCTGGTTTATAGGAATTGTAGAGAGAAGACGGAGAAAAAAATGTAGAGAGAGGTTTTTTTTATTACATCAGAATTCAGTAGAAATGAATTCGCATTAATGTCATTTAATGTCATTATTACAATTGTACAGTATATATACTCGAGTTAGTTACACCTAAATAACTTTATAAAATAATAATTGTAATAAATCTAATACACCCCCTGTTAGAAGTGGAGGAGTGGAAGTAGGCACGTGGTGGGTTGCTTAGTTGAGTATTATTGCATGAGTTGACTGAAGTGAGTACATGCAAGCTCCTATTTATACTAATTAATGTAGGTTACTTCCACGGACTTTGCTCCTTCAATTTGTTTCTCCTTTTTTCTTCTTCTTTCTAGATTAATCTAGGTAGTATGCTTTTGTTTAGTTTTCTAGTTTTTTCTTATTAGATATTTATCCTAGGTTTGTACAAGATATTTCTAGATTACATTTAATATATTACTCCAAGATTTTTCTAGATTAGTCTTTTCAACACTCCCCCTTAATCTGAAAAATCTTGAACACCGAGTTGTCTTCGAAAATGGAGGAATTTATCTGTTGGTAGTGCCTTGGTGAATATATCTGTGAGCTGATCTCCCGTCTTGCAGAATTGTAGTTCGATCTCCTGTTTCTCGATCAGTTCTCGGATGAAGTGATGTCGTATCTCGATATGCTTCGTGCGACTATGAAAGACTGGATTCCTTGTCATGGCCATAGCTGACATATTGTCACTATGGATGGTTGTTGGATCTTCCGTGTCTTGCCGTAGATCTTGAAGAATTCTCCTTAGCCAGACTTCTTCACATGCTGCGCTTGTGGTCGATATGTATTCTGCTTCTGATGATGATAGTGCCACCATTGCATGTTTCTTTGATGACCAGGAGACGGACATCGATCCTATCTGGAACACGTAACCACTCGTACTTCTTCAATCATCAATGCTTCCAGCCCAGTCGCTATCTGTGTAGCCTGTGAGCTTGTAGCTGATCTCGGACTCGTACATTATTCCATGGCTCTTTGTCCCTTTGATATACCTGAGAATCCTCTTTACTGCTGCAAGATGTGTCTTGCTAGGTTCACTCATGAACCTAGAGACAATGTTGACTGCATGTACTATGTCGGGCCTTGTGTTTGTGAGATAGATGAGAGATCCAACCATGCTACAATAGAGCGATGCATCTACTTTCTCCTTTCCATCATATTTGGAGAGTTTCTCATTCGTAACCATTGGTGTCGCCATTGGCTTGCAATCGCTCATGTTGAAATTTTTGAGCATATCTTCAACATATTTCTCTTGTGAGAGAAAAATTCTTCCTGGACTTTGCTTGACTTGCATGCCAAGGAAGTATTTCATAGCTCCAAGGTCGGTCATCTTATATTCCGACATCATTTCTTTCTTGAAATCTTCGATCATTTTTTATTTAGTGCCCATGTAGATAAGATCATCTACATAAAGGCACAAGATGAGAAAATCATGTGGCCCTTGGGCCTTGATGTAGAGTGATGGCTCACTTGGGCTTTTTATTAACCCATTTTGAATAAGATAGCCATCAATATTGTTATTCCATGCATGAGGAGCCTGCTTGAGCCCATATAGGGCGAAGACGATACACCTTCTCTTCCTTGCCTTTGATTACATATCCTTGCGGTTGCTCAACATATACTTCCTCTTTTAGCTCGCCATTAAGAAAAGCACACTTGACATCTAATTAAAAAACTTGTAATTTAAGTTGAGCTGCGAGTGCAAGGACTGACCTGATTGTCTCCATTCGAACAACTGGAGCATATGTCTCGTTGAAATCAACTCCGGGTTGTTGTGAATGGCCTTTTGCTACTAGGCGAGCTTTGTATTTTTGAATGGAGCCATCTTCATTGTACTTGATTTTGTAGACCCATTTGAGGCCTATTATTTCTTTGTCTTGTGGCTTGTCAACAAGCTCCCATGTGCGATTCTTCTCGATCATCTTGATTTCTTCATTCATGGCGTCAATCCATTTTTCTTCTTGCGCCGCCTCTTGGAAGCTTTGTGGTTCGCTGGCAATGAGGGCCATGATAGCATGATTACATTGATATTTATCCAAGTAGGCCGGAGGACGCCTTGGTCGTTGTGATCGTAGAACTTCTTGTGCCGGACTTGATTCTGGTGTTGAGCTTAAGCTTGATGGTGACCTTGGGCTTCTCTGTGGTGATCTTGGGCTGTTTGGTGTTGATCTTGAACTTCTTGGTGTTGATCTTGAACTGCTTGGTGTTGATCTTGGGCTGCTTGGGCCTTCACCTTCATCTAGGCTTGAAGATGGAATGACTACTGCAGGAACTTCTAGATCTTAAACTTCTGGATTGCTCTCGTTTCATTGCCATTGTGCTTCTTCTTTGAATATGACATCCCTGGAGATGATCAACTCCTTGGATTCGGGCAGATAAAGACGATATCCTTTTGACTCGTCACTGTATCCAATGAAGATACATTTTTCTCCTTTTTTGTCTAGCTTATCCCAATTCTCCTTCGGGACGTGGGCATATGCAATGCACTCGAAAACTTTGAGGTGCTCAACTCTTGGCTTTCGTTTGTGCCAAGCTTTGTATGGCGTCATGCTTCTTATTGCTTCCGTGGGAGACCTGTTCAGGATGTAAATAGCTGTGCGGACAGCTTCTGCCCAAAAATGTTTAGGCATATTTTTTCCTTGCATCATACTCCGAGCCTTTTCAGCAATTGTCCTGTTTCTCCTTTCTGCAACACCATTTTGTTGTGGTGTACGTCTCACTGTGAGCTCCTTTTTGATGTCATGCTCTTTACAGAATTTGTTGAATTCATTGCTTGTGAATTCTCCCCCACGATCGGTTCTTAGAACCTTTATTGAATGCCCACTTTGTTTTTCTGCGAGGGCTTTAAATTGCATGAAGTGGGATAATGCTTCTGATTTTTTCTCCAAGAAATATACCCAAATCAGGCGTGAAAAATCATCAACAATCAACAGAAAGTATCTGTTTACGCCAAGAGACGGATTCTTGGTAGGACCCCATATATCAGCATGGACAATCTCTAATGGAGCTCTAGCCCTCCAAGATGAAATTGGAAATGGTGATCTATGCATTTTGCCATAGATACAACCCTCACAAATTTTCTTTTCATTAGTGATTGGTGGTAGCCCAATCACCATTTCTCTATTTTTTAACAGTTTTAAACTGTCAAAATTTAAATGCCCGAATCTCAAATGCCACAAGGTGGACTCATCCATTGTTGTGCTTAGGGCAATGTTTGACTCCAATTGCATTTTAAGTGGAAATATTTTATTTGGAGCCATTTTAGTGGTAGGGATTAATTGCCCTTTTTTCTTGTCATATATGTGGCATTGATTATTATCAAATTTCACCATATAGCCCTTTTAGACTAATTGGCCCACACTTGGTAAATTTTGTGCCAGCCCATGAGCATAAAAGACGTCGGGGATGAATTTAGAGGAGCCATTTTTTGTTTTAACAACAATTGTTCCCTTTCCGGAAACTTCTTGATTACTCCCATCACCAAGAGTAATTTGTGATTTTATATTTTCATCAAGAGTTACGGTAGGGAATAGATTTCAAGCCTTAAATCCCACTAGCTTGAACCCCACTGTGATCATACACTAAAGTACGGTGGCGTCCAAAAGGGAAGAAGATAGAGCAAAAGAGTCGCTAACAAGTTTTAGGAACTTGTAAACCGTTCACGAGGTGAAGGTTACACCCCTTAACAATCCAAGAGATCGTCAACTCCATAAGGTCTAGAACCAAATAAGGGTTCGGGGGTGAAGGTACAAATCCAACCTAAAAGAGATTGAACCTGCCTAATAATAGGCCTCTACTTTATTCTGATCGTATTCATGTGCGCTTTTTAATTAACATGCAATCAATAGGATTAACCCTAAACCTGTTTATCTATGTTGGTTGAATATTAATGCACAAACAAATCTATTATTGGCTATCACTTGAATTATAATCACATTAACACTAAACAAGATTATTAATTATCTTATTAATCGTGATTACAAGTACCAATTCCCTTTAAACATGCATAAAAGGTGTGATCAAGCAATAAAAATAAATATAATATGTATCAAGCAACATAATAAAAATAATCAATATCATGAACAATAAAATTATAATCATAATAATAATCATCATAAATAAAATAATCATCATAAATTATAACAATAATAATATTCATAATTATAACAATTATAATCATAATCATGTTCATGTTAATACAAAAGCATAATAATAGTAGCAAGATCCTAGGCATGATACTAACAAGATTAATAACAAACCCTAGCATGTCACTAAGCAATAAAAATCAAATATTTAACCCTAACATGATACTAACAATCATAAGTATTAGGAAGAACATAGGAAGCATCATAACAATCATATTTAATATTAAAGTTACCCTAGACATGATACTAGAAATATCATAATAACAATGTAAACATGATTTCTACATCATAATATCAATTAAAACCATTAAAGTACTTACTTTGATGCCTCGTACCTCTTTCTAATAACCAAATACACACGTTAGTAACTTCAAGGAAAATAATAAACAAAACAATTAAATTAAATAATTGAAATAGAGATTTAGGACCAAACCCTTAGAAATTAAAACCTTTCACGTCTAGGGCGAAGGCAACTTCGAATATGGCTAGGTGTTTCTAGATCTTGTGAATGCGGAATTTTGTATATGAAAACAAAGTTTAAAAGAAAAAGAGAGAATGCTAATTAAAACTGATTGTAGAACTTGTAAAAAATGAGAATTGGTGAAGATGATTGAAAACGGAGTTTTTAATACGATATTTATAGAGAAAATCAGCCAAAAAGATAAATAGACAAAATAGAGTCTAACGCACAGAAAGCAGGGCTGGCGCCAACCCTGGCTAGCTGGCGTCAGGCACCAACACTAGCACCAGGCGCCAATGGCTAGCGCCAGGCCTGGTTCCAGGCGTCAAGGCCTGGGGTTAGGCGCCAAGCCTGATGTTAACGTGTTTTCGAAAATCCGATAAGTTTGCCGTACTGGAGGATAAAATCATATAATTTCCTTGAAAATGCTATTTGATTTTGATTAAAACTCTTAAAAGTCAACAAAAGTCAATTTATCAATGCTAATTGAATTAGGAATGAAAAAAACCTTCTAGAAGATTCTAGAAGACTAAAACCATTCCTAATTGCATTAGAAATGATAAATCATATTAGGCCCTCCCCTAGATCATTGGGCCGTACTTAAAGCTCAAACCGGACCCAGTTTAGTAAATTGGCCATAACTTCCTCAATATTCATCGGAATTGGGCTTATAATATATCGTTGGAAAGGTCTTTGCAAGCCCCATCCAACTACACTACTATTGGACCCATATCATGGACCAACCAAACTGGATTGGCTGTTTTCTTAAAATAAGTTTTCAAAAACAGAGAGAAGAGAAAAGAAATTAAAACTATCCGCAACACTAGAATTTCCACACTTTCACTTCATTCGATTATGATTCGACATGAAAGATACTCATCACTGGGTTAGGTTTTGGGGAGACACAAATGGGTGTCTACAGAAGCCCCCACTTTGAGTGAGTTTGGAGAAACGCGAGTTTCGACAAACGAAAGTCAAAGTAGCGATAGGGACGGAGAATGATTCAGAACGTTCTGCAATCCTAAATCAATCTTGTAACGCCGATACCTGCAAACTAGCATTAGTTAAACAGATAAAAGAGTCAAGAAACGCGTATCTTGCACTGTCGAGCACACGTCTCTATAAGTAACCGACTTGCTGTTTCGATGACCTCCTGCAAGCTAGAGAATGCCATCCCGCTTGAAAACCGCTACGCCCGTAACTGCTTCCTGTAGGCGTCGTTTAAAGTGCGCCTACGTTAAAGCATGTTGTGAATATGCTTGGCACTCATAGGAAGTGGGAATTGACATAATACGATTAGGGACAAGGAAAGTAGGGAGCCGCCAACAAGTTTTTAAGGAACTTGTAAACCGTTCACGGATCATAAAAAGGAAACCACGATAAGGGACAACGAAGGCAACAATGATTGACCCGTGAAGGTTACACCCCATTCATAATCCATGAGATTACTAACTCCATATGGTTCGGAACCACGAAAGGAGGATCGGGGATGATGGTACGAAGTGAGTCATGGAGTCACATTCGCCCGTATTGGCCTCTACTCGATTCTTATATTGAAAAACATTCCTGTGATCTCAAAGGCATACAAACAAAATATTCAATTCGCTTCAACTATTATTTAACTAAATTGGTTCAAAATTAATGCACACATTATTCTAAATATTTGGTGATCACTTCAATTAACAATAAGATTAAAAGGGATCCTAAACCGGTTGTCCAAATTATCTTATTAGTCGTGATTTTCAATTACATATTCCCTTTAAACAT